AAAAAAAAACCTCCCTCATTATTTGCATTTTATATTTTGTCATATAAAATGTCCCAATATTTTATATGATAACAATTATAAGTCAGATCAAAATCTTAAAATTTTAAATCTATAAAAAAATAAAATAAAATCAAAATTTGCAGATCATTTGGAAATTTTGCGACGCTCGCTGTTCGGCAGGAGCCCAAGTAGAGATCTACATGTTGTCAAAATGGTTTTATGATAAACAGTAATCAATGCAGACCTTTAAAAGAAGGTGGAGGATGAAACAGGTGGGAGGTAATGAAGAGTAACATAGGGTAATTGATGACCTGTCCCCAACACTGGGGATATTGTTCCAAGGCTTAATCTTTGTCATCAGAGTAAGGACAGTTTGTATGTGCCTGATGCGGACGCAGGATGGAGAGCTTGGAGGCTTACTGTGTCAACTTTCTCTCTCCCTGTTTCTCTGTGGGTCAAGTAAACAGCCTTTGCAGGGACAGCTCAGGGCTAGTGTCTGACCAGCCAGGCTGAAAATGGCCCTTGTCCATTCCTGCCATGTAGCATTTCTTTCCCCAGCTGTTTGTCCTTTGTCATGGACACAGCTTGTAATAAGAAGAGCCAACATATTTATGAAGTGGCCGACCTCGCTGGTGCACAGGGCTCTAATCCAGCGGGCACAAAACAGCTTTGTTACTCTTTAACAGTTCCCAAACCTTCAACAGTGGAGGAGAGATGTCTGGTAACATGCATATGCTGCATGTGAACTATTGCACATGACTGTTGTTTAAAGGAGAAGGGGAAAAAAATAGATATTTATAAAGGATATTGCATTTCCCCTCTTTTATGATTTGCTTCCAGCATAAAGGCCAGTAAGCGTTTTCATGCCCAGCGATTTGTTTTGCCGTGTGTAGTGTCTGTAAATTCATAAACATTTATGAGTGATTAGTAAGGCTTCACCTGAGCTCTGGTATGGAGGGAGTCCAGTGTAGAAGTAAATGCTGGCAAGACAAGAAATGAATGAAAGAGCCAACAAAGGAGTCCTCTCATGGGGCTACATGAGTGTGTTTTCACACAGTAGGGGATTCCCCTTTAAACCATTAACAGGTTAACAAGATATATGCGGCAGCAACTGTCTGCAGAAAAGTCAACTGCATGTATAGTATAAGCCCTTTTAAATAAGCTCTTGAGTAAAGATCCTGTTTTAATGTCAAGTCACATTAAAAGCAGTTTTCTAAAGCCTTTAGTTACATCTAACAGAATAATTTAAGGATGTAGATCAATGCATTTAATTTTAGTTTTAACCTTATTCAAAAGAAAATCAAATTCAAAATCAATCAACAAATCAATCAATAAATAAATAAATACCAATTAATAAAAGGATACAATGTGGGAATTTATTTTTGAAGTGGTCAGAAACTTTTGCTCCTTCTCCAAATATTTTTATCCAGAATTAGTTTCCTGCAAAAACACAAGAAAGTGTTTTCTAAGTCACTCTAAGTTTCTTTTTTCTGAATTTTGCAGGTGTTTTTCAGTCAGAAAATGACCCCATGTTAACTTTCTTCTTCTTCTTCAGAATTAAGCATTATTTCTGTTTCTTGCATAAAATATGCAACGTTATGTTTGCAACAAAAGTGATTGCAACTATTTTTTTTAGTACTTGCATATCGACTGTAAAGACGATGCTAACTCTTGCTGTGATTTCAATTTTCTTTTTCAGACAAAGTGAAATAAATAGTTAAGAGTTCAAGCCAGATATTCAAATGCCCAGGATTAAAGATACAAAAGTTTATTATTATTATTATTATTATTATTATTATTATTGTTACATAAATCAGAAAAGAATTTTTCTACTTTAAGTCACTTATGATACATGTATTACATGTTTTTGGTTAATATCAAAATAATAAGCAAAAACATCTTTGGAAAATGTTCCTTTACTTTCTTCAAATTTAAACATTTACGTTAATATTTCAAGTTTTTGAACAAGTTTCTGGAAAGCCCATATAATGATATCACTGAACTGCTCAGTTCTTTTAACATCTCACAACATTAAACCCATATAACACAAATGCCACTTCACAGGTTAAATATGTATTCCTTTTTTAACTTGGTAATAACATGTAACCTTAAGAATATGACTAGCTTCTAGGTGGATACAGCACGGATTCCCCCATATCAGAAAAACACACCGGCAACATCTCAATTTTGAGTACTTTTACCAAGGTTAAAGTGTGCGAATGTGACCCCTCTTATCAATTAATAGTTCACATCAGAGAAAGGCACTTGTATCTAATGATTGCTGTTAAATAGCTTAAATGTGTTTTAATACCTCTCCATCAAATCATGATTACAGCGGACGGGTATATCAAGTGGTCCTTTCATTTGGTTAACATGATCAAATTGACTCCTGTGTCATGAGCGATGGCACCAGTGGTAATTAATTTCTCCATTAAGGGCGGCCAATGTGACAGCCATGCAAACAGAGCGCAGTGACAGCGAGGACACAATACCGTCGGCACACCAAGACAGCCCGACAGCCAAGGAGGAGCAGCGGGTAATCACATTATCTGTCTGCGGGGAAAGCGCTGTTCATTAAAGGAAAACAACGCAGGCTACAATGTCTGTTGCTGCATCGTCAGCATATTTGCGGATCTGGCAGATCCAATGCCGGCTACGCATTTACATATAGTAATGAACTTTTAAAAAAAAAAATTATTCCAAATTACCGAGGTGAGCCTTTGGAGCCTGTAGGTGCTTCCACCAAGGGGCACAAACCCAAGTAGTTGTGCAGTTTTTGATGTTCTCACATTTTCAGCATATATGAAGCAAGTGAAAATGAGTGACTTACAACTGGAAGAAAAACAAAGATGAACTCACAAATTAATTTCGTCACACATATATATATTTTTCTTTTCTTTTGTACGTCAGCTACAGAAATAAATCAAATCTAATTGAAATGTCTATGCAATCACCTTTAACATTTCAGTTAGTTTTTTTTTTTTTCTCAAACAAATGCCTGCTCTTCATCATTTATTGAAATCAGTGATGTTGCCTTCTTAATATATAATGTAATGTACAGTTGGTTTAGGGTTACATGTGTTTTTGTGTGCATGCGTGTGTGTGTGTGTGTGTGTGTGTGTGTGTGCGCGCATGCCTGCAGGCTGTCTTTTCCCCTCTGGGAGTTTTGATAAAAAGTGAAACCAACAGTTCTCCTCCAGCAGTAAGACCTGGGGGTTTCTCCAAGGGTGGGGGGCAATTGTCCAGCATTTTCACCACAATGCTGCCATATGGGGAACAGAAGGATCAGCCACTGACTCCCTGCCAGAGCAAAGGCAAACACCAATCCACATATGCATAGAAGTGGTCATTTAGAGCCACCGCGTTTTACCATAACAACAGATGAAACACAGGAGTCATTTTGCTTCCACTGAGGGGCATTGTTCCCCAGACTCACCGCCTCTAAAGCTGTCACCCTATGAGGCAGGATAAACTTAGGGGCCCAGGCCTGGGTGTAAATAACAAAGAAAACCTCACTTACATGCTTCCTAAATCCTTTCGAAAAGATGAAAAGGAGGTTAAAAAAGATCCACTCCATTTCCTCATCTTCTGAAAACATTAACATAAGACAAATGAATTTATTTAAGACTCACCTCAGACCATGTCTGTGTGTTTTAGTGTTTTTATTTTTATTTTATTTTTTTATGTGCTGTCATTTAAAAAACCTGCAGCACAAACAGTTCCAATTGTTTTATGATTCGGCTTTTAATCTATAGCGTTGAAATCAAAGAATCAAATAAATTAATGTAATGCTTTTAGACGTACAGTATGTCAACAAATTTAAAAATAGATAACGATTAATTTTGAGAGTTTAAAGAAGATGTTTAGTTGAACAGTAATGTTCTATTGACCTTACAAAAAAGGTTTTTATTTATAAAATTAACCAAGCTGAGTGGACTTTATCCTACCAATATAATCTATAAATATTTGTATTTCAAATATTATTTACCACATGCTCTTTTGAAAATAGTTATAATAAAATAAATGTGACAGAGAGATTCTTGATAGAAAAAAGGCTTCAATTACATTTATGTTAGTGAATGTCAAAGTGTTAGCTCCTGATGAATAAATGTCAAATTGAAAATTGGCTTCTTCAAAAGAGTATATGCTTCTCCAATACAACAACAATGATTGTTTTAAAGTATATTACTCATCCAAATATTTCTACCACGTAGGTTTTGCAGTAAGATAATTTCCCACATGCAAAATCTGTGCATGAAAGCACTTAAAAGTCTTAGCTTTAGGTAGACAACAGGTTTGTATTAGCAGGTGTTAGCATTTTCATTGATGAGAGTTTTTTTTTTCGACTTCATTTTATCTCTAAAACCAATGAGCCAGTTGAGCATTTTGTGCAGACTGGAAAGAGGCTGAATGTGTATTTCAAAGCTGGTCAGCCAGTCAGTGAGCTACTTAACAGCAGCAATACTGTAATAAAGACTCACTGATGGGAGGGTAGCAATGGAGCTGAACTTCTTACATTCCTCTGATGTTGCCTCATTATGATTTCAAGGAGTAAATTATGAGTGCAAACAACCTGGAGACTATTCCTCCCACCAACCGCTTCATTCTGCTGCTTTGAAGAAAAACTAATATTTTGAAAGAATGCAGGCGAAACAATGAAATAATTTACATTTTTCAAAGGTTTACCTTCTTTCACAAGGATGTTCTAATAAGGTTTTAGAAATGTTGTTGTTCAAAGTGTGCTACTCTTCATTTGACCTGCCACAGTGAGGTAAGCATGCACATTTCCTGCATTAAAACAGCTTGCACTTTAACATTACCTATAAGGCTAACTTGTTGCTCTCCAAAGTTTCACTAAATGTCTCACTGCTAAAGTTGCACTTGTGCTTTTTACCTTTTAACCTTGATTCTTAAAAGGCAAAAAAAAAAAAAAATGCAATACATCACAGTGAATCACCACGACGACACAGTCATCCAAGACATCTGAAAAGAAATGAAAGTGTGATAACTTATTGAATATATTTAAAGACAGCTAAAGCACAGTGTTTAAGCCATATCCAGTCTCAGTGACATATAATACAGACTTTTAATATCCAGAGGGTGTTGGGCTGGAGCGGGAAGCAGTCAGCTGCTTCACTATAACCAAATGTTACAGTATAAAACAGCATGTCGCGCTGCGATTTGACATGGTGCAATGAGATTAGATGGAATTCATTTCTAAGTGAGGGTAAATTACAAGCCTATTGAAAACAGAGCCACTTACCCTCATCATTGATCGCAGCACATGTGCACCCATAAAATGGTTTGACAAAGAAGGCGTAGTCTGGTAGAAAAGTGACACAGGATGAAAAAGTATTCTGCATCTGGCAGAAAAGGTTTTTAAGTTCAGGTTAGTTATTCTGGCAAACAAGTAAATTCTTAAAAACTATTGCACATTCAATAAAAAACAAATCTATAAATATTCAATAGCAACATGATAAAAAGAAATTCAAATATTGACCAAATTTAGTTGAACATTTAAAATGTGAATACTTACTTGTAGGTGTCAAAAGCAGAGCTGCTGCATTTTTAAAGTTCTCACAAACATCTGCAGAAGACCAGGAAAAAAAGGAAACAATAGCATGAAGCATTGGATACAGGTCTCAACATTCCTACATCATAATACAGTTCTTCAATTTCTTTAATATTCCTCAGACGGGAAAAACTAAACGATAAGCAATTCTTTATGGGCTATTCAAATATTGAAATGAAAAAAATATATATATAAAATAATCTAATATTGCAAGGAATGATAACTTCCCTGATTCTCGTAATGAATGTGTCACAATGTTTAATGTCAGTTAAACCTACATTGAGTATTTTTTATTAAGCCAGCACTAAATTGTAGTGAGATTTTAGACTACCATTTTCAGACAGCAGGCATATAAGCTTCAAGTCAGGTTTTCGCAGGTCCATTTTGAAGTAACACTCTCATTTATAACTGTAAAGTATCTTCACAGAGTCAAATTAAACTCAATAGATTAAAAAAAAAAAAAAAAAAAACCTGGCCAAATAGTGTTTGGTATCATAAAAAGGCTAAGACGCAAGCTTACTGAAAAGTAATCCACGTACAGCCCAGCAGAGGTTTTGACATAAAGAAGTCATATTAAAGAAAATAATAATAATAATAAAAAATCTGAAAATATTTGTGAGACCAAATCAGAGCCACGTGGGACGTTGAGACATCCCTCCTGCCCCGGTCCTCCGCCACCGCCCTTATGACTGCGCCTAATGCATTACTTAACTTGGGTGCAGGGGCGCAACTACATCTTATTCAGGTGGATGCGAAAAACATAAATCCCCCCCCCTGAAGGAAGGTACATAAGAGTGAAGGAGCGTAGAAAACGCTTTCTTTATTCCCCCCCCCCACACACACACAAAGACGCGTGAAAGGTAAAACTCACTACATTTACATTTACATGTGAAGGAGCGTAAGGGCGCGGTGAAGTGTATGCGAAGGCATCATCGGCGTGCCGCCCCCTCCAGACGGGGTTTTGACGCCCCCTCAGGTGCAGCGCCCCTATGCGTTACATGCGCTGCGTACCCACTTTTTGCGCCACTACTTGGGTGGAGGTGTGACAAGCGGGTGAAGAGGAGTGTCAGCGGGGCTCTTCACCCAGGACGCAAAACAGGCGGGGACCGCGTCTATATACAATTGTTTAGTCTGAGAAAGAAAGGCATGGAGATTCAGAAACAATAACAGTAATGGTCAGATGCTGACTCTTAGTTGACAGTCAATAACAAACAATGTACTGCCTATGTGGGCCACTGGTTTTTCAGGGAATAGCAAATTAAATGAAACTGAATTTGCGCAAGTATCAGCTGTTAGATAATCGAACATCTCGATTGAGATTCTTGCCTCAAAAACTTTGATAGAAAACATAAAATCAGCTGCTTGGATTAGATTTTTTAGGCTACATTTACTCAACATTTATATCAGCGTTTTTGTTTGCCTTAATTCCAAAAATGACATCCCAATTGCAGTATTTTTTTATTTATTTTTTTACCATCCTGAGGTGTCCTGTGTTTCTTCACTAGATTCTCTTGCTCATTAATACCATGACCAGGTAGAGTCCTTTGACATTGTGATCCTTGAACACATGTCTCAGACTTTGCAGCACATCAGGATGACACCTCAAAAAAAAGGAACTCGGCCTTTGGCTTCTTCCGAAGAACAACACGTGTCAGCGGCCCCCTGTGGGCCCTGTCAGGAGGTGAAGAGGTTAGGCGCTCTGTGTGCCCGAATAGATCCCGGCTCTTCACGAAGACCACCATAATGACTGCTAATTATGCTGCCATCTGTGGGGTGGGCTGTGTTATGTAGACACCTGTTCATTAAGTAGGAGAAAGAAACTTTTCTGACAAAAAGAAAAAAGAAAAAAAAAAACAACAACAAACCCAGCATCTTCCCTGCACCCAGCTTTTTCAAAAACCTCATTAGCCCACATACGGATGCCGATTAAACTTCCGAGCAATACAGAATTGAACTGCTCTGTGTTACTAAAGATCAAGTGAACTTTTTGTGAAATGTTTCCAGCATCAGAGCCATCACCAAGGTTAACCGGTTTTCTTTTTTGTTTTTTTTGCAGAGGAAGCCAATAAAAAGCTCTCAGATATCTGCTGAGGGGGAGCACAGCTTGTCAATCCCCTGACCCTAAGAGGCAATCTGCCATTACGACTTCACAGAAGACTAATGAGAACCATTCTTTTGCCCCCACCTTCAATACAATGTCAATACCCATTTGGGCTACATTCAATGCTACCTGTTTTACCGTCACTTGACGTATTTTCCAAAAAATATCCACCAGCCGTGGAAACTGTCCTAATAACTAACAGTCTGAAAATAATTCCCCGTAAGGTAGAAGCTCATATCCTGCATTTGATAAACTCTGAAGGGCTTTAATGTTGTATCCTCCTCCTTCAGCCACCCTAGACACATTCATCTAATCCCCATCTTTCATCTGGAGATTTATATAAACGGATGATGGGAAAGCATTGCATATTTCAACTTTTTATCTGTTAAGCTTATGACTCCATTTAGTTTTAGATCCTCAGAGATGAAGCAAGTGCAGGATTCATAAAGTGAGGGCCAATTAGGATGTTGACGAATTGAGTTTGGAAGATAAATTTGGGATGTAAAAAGGTTGACATAACTGCTGTGTCTCTTTCACTACATGTGCAGCTCCCAATTAAGTGAGGAGAGGCTTTTTTTTTTTTCTCCCCCAGCCAGGATCAGCATGTCTTCCTGACAGATGAGGCACTAATGAGAGCAAATCTCACAAAATCCTCAAGAAACATGATGAATTGAATCATGTTCACCCTGTTCATTTTTGTGTGTGTGTGTGTGTTCACAGATGAGACCAACGCAAAACATTTATTTAGTCAACAAATGGCAAATGAGTAGGTGGGTCCGTCATTGTTCACACCATCTCTATTGAGCTGCTGTTTTTCTACTGTTTCTCATTATCTCGCCCGCCTTGTCTCATTTAAAATGGAGTACGGAGTTTAAAGGGAGACACATTTTGCATCCTGAGGCTTCAGTTTGCCTCCTTCCCAAATATTTATCAGCCAAAATAAGGAGGCTATGTCCTTCATTATTATTTTCCAAACCTCCACCATATGTTTGCCTATTATTAAAGAACCAGCTGAAGATGTCCTTTTTTTTTCTTTTTTTCAAATTTAAATGACTAAATCTAGTCTTAATTGGTCCAGAAACGCTGCCTAGCGGATGGTATCAAAGTCAAGCTTGGGAGAGAATCCGACAGATGGCTTAGTCTTATGACTTGTATTAACACCTTCGAAGTTTAATGAACTGTTAATTGCTTTTCTAATATATAATGGGGCCACTGGAATACAAGCTGTAATGCAAACAGATTATTTTGTAGAGAACACATAAACACACATTCGCTTCAATGTCACCTTTAACTACAATGAACAACAAAACCTATTTTAAGGAGAAAAAAAAAGGATTCATTTTTCAGTGGATGGGAATCAGGGGTGGTTCATTTCATTAGAGCAACTTTGAGTCAGTCACAAAAGTTTAAAAGAGTTGATTTGGTGCCAGAGGCGATAATGACCTGATCTATAAACCGTCTCCTTAGAGGAGGAGAAAGAATAAACTTATAGAAAGAATTAATTAATCTGAATGCCTCTGATGATTTTATCAATTTGTGGGATGCTCTTAGCAGCAGACAGCATTTTCACACATGATCTGGGTTACTGGAGACCTCGGACTCATGATTCTGAAATCGAATTCATTTACAAACCCAACAAGCTCCCATCTCTTTGATTCAGATACCTAAAACTTAGCTGGAGTGTCCCAACCAGAATCTTTTGTTTACATTAACAATCCTGATCATTTACCACTAGAAGATTACAGTAAATACATTTATTTTACTAAAAAGATAGATTAACTATTACAATCAAGACTGGAAGATGACGGATTTATCTTGCCTGCAACGGGAAGAATGGTACAGTAGTTTTTTTTTGTTTTTCTTTTAAATGACAGTGTTAGGAGAACAGCAGTATTTTAGGGTCACCACATTTTAACAAGCATTTATTTTTAAGGCACTTTGCAGAAACTAAACCAGGGGTACCAGTCATTTTTGAGGGTGCTGTATATTAATGAAGGTGAGCTTGAGAGTTAGCTGGTGCCTCTCTCCAGCGGTCAGGGGGCGAAAGGCAGGGTACACCCTGGACAGGTCGCCAGTTCATCACAGAGCAAATTTTAATACCTCCATGATTCATCTATGTTTTAGTTGTTTATCTCTGTGTGTGCCTTGAACTTGAGCAAACATTAATGCACTCAAACCTTTACACACAGTACTTTATTAAATTATATCTTCTTTAAGGTCAATATACTTCTGTAATTAGTTGTCTCTTTTTAATCATCTGAGGTTAGATAGTACTCCCATCCACTCTCGGTTTAATGGCATTGGCATCAAAGCTTAGCTAACAACAACACTGATGTTTATCATATTCCGGCTTAAAGTCAGCACAAGTAATGCTTTGCATGCTTAAAATCCATTTCCATAACTAAGTGTAATTTCCCTCCAGTTTGTTCCTGTTTAATGAGGTGTCTTGTTTGTGTGCCTTCCAATGTCACAGGAAAAGTCATTCAAGCGGCTGTGTCTGACTTCAATCAAATTAACTTTACTATGTTGTCAGTTTGCACAAAATTATTTAGGTAAAAACGTTTATGGCTAATCAGACGTATATGCAAAAAAAAAAAATGCTTTTGTTATTTCTTGCATTTCTGCCTTTCTACTCAAACTTCTTAATGATGGAATGTGTAAATGCTTCAGGGTGGTTGCAGAA